AAACTGGCACATGGGTGGTCGAAATGGTGGTTTTGATAGTAAAGTGTGAACATACAACTAGTATTAACTATTATTACATTCTGAACGACACTTCAAATCTAATAGCTGTATTACACTTGTATCGTGAAAGCAACTGAACTGGGACTTCTTGTTACGTGTTTTGGGTGCTTGTTCTAGATGTAATATTTTTATTTTTATTTTAATGAGGCAGTTACGTGAAAAAAAGCCTAGGTAACTCCTTTTGACAGAGCAGAGAAACGAGGAAATGTTAGTGATTAATTCCAAAAATAACGATATCGAATCCACATCGGTCCACGTCTGGTAAAATTTGACATTCAATTTTTAAAATTAAGTCACGATCATTGAATGAGCTCGGTCTATACCGTATACGTACCGCAAAAAGGTCAAATTCCATCAGTTTGTCAAAATATGTTTTTCAGCGAATAATTTTGAAGCCTGTCACAGCACAAACAACTATGTGAATCGACGCCGGTGATTGGATTGTACGACGACCCTTCAATTAGCGTCAAATATTCTTTGTTACAACATCATTGGTTGGCTGAGAGTCACCTGATCGGAGCACGAACTGGGTCACAGAACCATATTTGTCCGTATTATCAACAGAACTTTGCAAAATAACCACACCCACATTTTCAATCATTTTTAGCGCGGAAGTTGCCAACAAAAGTAAAAATAATCGTGAATTTCATGGATTCGAATAAAATAAAGCAAGCGATTGATAAGGATGATTATTAATATTTTCCCCGATGCTCTTCGAATTTTTATTTTTTTTATTTCAAGGTAAGAAATGGCTAGCTGAAGTTGCATCGTCTTCAATGCGGTTGTTTCACCGCGAACAACTCTAGCTCTGTTTTGGGCATGGTTTAGTTTTGCGATGTAAAATAAAATATATATTAAAATAATAATACTTGATTAATTATTTGGGGTTTCAGCCCACAAATTACGGACATGATCTCCATGAATTACGGTCAATGTTGGTCTTCTCTCGGCTGATGTCACGGTGTTGATCGACGCCCTTCCTAAACTCAGTATGGAGAAACCAACAGGGATCGACATTCCAAACAAACAATCGAATTTATCAACGAAAGACGAGATTTTTCTAGATATTTACAAACATACTGTCATGACAAACATATGTAAAATTAACAAATACACAAAGAGGTGTAATATTAGGTTTTATTTTAGGCTTAGAAATATTTTCTTTCACTCAGCCCATGCATGTAACTGCCATTTAGCTTTACGGTCCTTCAGCATCGGGGGAAAACAACAATAATTATACAAAACACATTGCGAAGACTCAACAATCAGGAAAGAAACCCCAGACAGCCCTGTCGTACTTGTGTTGAAATACATTTTGTATTTCACGTCAGAATATTGTTTAAAATAAAATATTCAGTCCAAGCCAAATCGAGGTCAAAGGGTCAGTTGCGTGCATATAATTATATATAGTTAAAACAAAAAGTATTTGAACTTTTGTCAGCTGTTCAACATCTATAAAACCAGAAAGACATTATAAGACAATGTGAACCTCGGAAATTATTCTGTTAGTCCGAATTTTAAATACGCGCGAGCGA